TCTGGAATAATGTGTCGTCTGTCCCCTCTCCCTGATCCATGTGGCTTGTTTGTTTAGGAAATTTTTACGACTGTTTTTCCAGCCATGTTGACAGACTGACAATGGAAAGCTCTTCTTTGGGGTTAGTTTATTGTTGTTATTAGTTTATTGATGGAGTGCATCTGTGATTGATTGATGAAACTATGCGGTCATTAGGAACTTGATGACATATAAGGCTGTGTGTGTATAAAAGTTGTAGGCCGCCCAGAGATGTTAATGAGTTGGGCAGCTTTAGGTTTGACAAAATAAAGATCTACCTATGAAGATTGTGGATTCAGTTCTCCATTTATCAAGGTTTTTTAAAAAGAAGGATAAGGAAATTTCTGAATTTACCACGTAAGTTAAAAAAAAAACCTTTTGGGTTCTTGCTTCTCTTTTTACACAGTCTTAAAAATAAATCAGTAAATGAATAGTTTTCCTGTACATTGCAAACAGCTGGACTAGATGATCCTTCCAGCTCTACCATTCTGTTATCTGTTATGTGTCTATACGTGTCTTTATCAGGTTCAGACTAGTATAGCTTGAGTGTCTGTATTTAATCCCCTCTTAGAAGAGCAGAGCATTCTGTTCCATCTGAACTGCCTGTGGTCTGAATTGTAGATCAGATTGAGAAATTGAAACATCATAAGGAAAAGATAGTGGCAAACTAAGTCTATATTCATGAAGTCATCAGGAATTGAACATGTCTTTGTGTTGTCTTCACGTAAATTCTATTTTCAGTGGAGGTTATTCTTGGGGAAATTAGTACGTGCTTAGAGAGGTAGGCCAGTTAGATTGATCAAATGACAATACTTAAAAATATTTTTGATATTTTAAACTGATGCAAACAGAAAGTTTTGGAGTGACTGAGATTTTTAAAATGTTCGTTATTTTAGCATAAGAATTTATAAAAACCAGATGGAAGGCATCATTTTAGAAGAATTGTCTTTTCTCTTCCTTCACACTGGGTCCTGAAAAGAGTATAAAAAATTGTACTGCAATAACTTTATGTAATCTTATTTTAGGAAGGATATTTTAAAACTTTAGTGTTTTTTTTCATAAAGACCTCAATTTAATGCTTTTCCATAAAATGTATTGAAGAGGTTGAGTAATTACGAGAGTTTGCGCAAAGGAAGAATAGCTGCTGAAAAAGAATGGCTTGTAACTGGGTGTAACTGCTGATGATTGGACTTGATAAGCGTGCATTACCCATTCCACAGTCAATATTTTCTCAATGACAGGGCTGTTCTTGTATCCCAACACATAGCCTGTTCCACCTACTTGGAAAATAGCATTAGCATAAGCCCGTGATGGCAAACCTATGGCACGTGTGTCACAAGTGGCATGCAGATCCATTTGTTATGGCAGACGAGGTGTTGCCCTGTCAGCTCCAGTGTGCATGCACTCTTGGACCAGCTGATTTCGGCCTTCATTTTTTTGCTTTTTTTAGCCCTCCGTAGGCTTCCCTGAAGCCTACGGAGGGTGAAAAACAACCCAATGCGCAAACTGGAAGTTCAGGAGCATGTTGGGCCATTTTTCTCCCTCTGGAGGCTTCAGGAGGCTTCCCTGAAGCTTCAGGAGGGAGAAAAACAGCCCAATACACAAACTGGAAGTTGGAAAAGGGTGTTTATGCACTCCTTTTTCTGCCATCAGATTTTATAGAAGAAAAAAGAAAAGAAAGGCACTCTTGAGTGGAGCTTGATACCAAGTGACCTCATGGGGATGTCTATGTCATTTTCCTGGGCAACAATACAGATGTGGTTTGCTGTTGTTTTCTTCCAGGAGAGTTTTTCAGTTTCACAGGCTGTTTCCTGGTATTTCCCCATTAAAATGCCTTCCAAAAAAAAATAGACTTTTTTGCGCATGAATAAGACTGGGGCCATAAGGTATGTGCAATGCATTGAGAAGAGGGTATAGTTCAGCACCATGCAGAAGATTCCTGGAAAAATCTCATTAAAAAGTCAGGAAGAAGGTAATTTGAAAAGTCTTTGGATGGCTGCTTCAACTGAGACTAGTAGTGATAAGACCTGGCTAGATCGATTTTTATCAACCTCATGCCCCTTAAGATGTGTTGGTTCAATTTTTGGAATTTTTTTAGAGGCCCATGCAAATCAAGGAATGTTGAACATTGACGTTCCAATGCATTTGGAGATTAGGGAAAGCTGAGGTAGGCGGACAAGTAGTCTGACCAGCTTGGCGACTGCTTTTTATCATCAGGGTTTGTTGAGATAACAACAAACTGATCTAATAAGATCAGGCTTCTTCAGCTTGGTGTTCATCACTGTATCATTCCGAACAACATAAATAATGATTCCTTCCGTCCCACTCGAGAAATAAGAAAGTACTAATAATGTAAAGTTTCCCATCTGCATTTGAATAATAAATCAAGATATTTGCATGGTCCATTTTTTCTGCCTACAGCATCACTGTTTAGAATCACACAACAACATAGCTAACAAAAAAATTGATTCACAATTTCCCCCCCCCCCCATTTTTATTTTGGCAGATAGGGGGACGCTTCAGAGGACGGGGCTTATAGACGCCACAGGCCAACGTCTGGTTGTGAATTCATTTTGTCAGTATTTATATTATGCCAGAATTTCTCATTGTGGTTACCTTTTGAAATGTTGGAAATTCTGAAACTTGTAGTTTTGGGGAAACTATAATTTGATTTCTGAAATCAAATGAATGGAATTTTTTCGACTGATTGGACTGGGACCATAATTGATTAATTATTTGTTTGCTTGTTTATATCAACCTTTATTATTTTTTGCAAATAACTCAAGGCACCAAACATATCCAACATATCTTTTACTATTTTCTCCACAACAACAACCCTGTGAGGTGAGTTGGACTGAGAAAGAGCGACTACCCCCCCCCCCCAACCCCCAGGTTCACCCGCTGGCTTTCATGGCTAAGGCAGGACTTGAATATAAGGTAGTCCTTTACTTACAACAGTTCATTTAGTGACTGTTCAAAGTTACAACATCACTGGAAAAAATGATTTACGGCCATTTTTCACACATGTATGACCATTTCAGCATCCCCATAGTCATGTGACCAAAATTCAGCCCCTTGACACTGACTCACATATACAATGGTTGCAGTGTCCTGGGTCATGTGATTTCCTTTTGCAACCTTCTGACGAGCAAAGTCAATGGGGAAGACAGATTAAGTTAACAACCGTGTTACTAACTTAACAACCACAGTAATTCACTTAACAACCGTGGCAAGAAAGGTCATAAAATGGGGCAAAACTCACTTATCACATGTCTCAGCAACATACTTTTTGGGCTCAATTGTGGTCATAAGTCGAGAACTACCTGTAATGTACAGTGTATTTGTGAAGTATATCAGACTGGGCAAAGTTGTACAATATTACTGCTGCTACTGTACTAAGCTTAGAATGTTAGGATGAGAAAATAAGGGCATTTCCTACAGTATCCGGCTTCATTGGGCTTCCCTATGTAATAGTATACATAGGGAATTGTTGTGACTCAGCAGATGTCTTCTGTGAGTCTTTTCAGGATACAAGATTCATTATGCAGCTGGGGCTTGTTAGGGGCAGATTCTGAGGATAAAAGGATGGATGCTGCCACGCCCTAGTCGCAGGAGTCAACGTTCCTTGGTTCGTACAACATTGATTAATCAGCAGTTGTGGTTTACACTTGGAAAAGTGCTTGGTTTTATGTAACCCTGATTCAAGGATACACTTGGAGAAGTGCATTGCGTTATAAGAGTTTTTGTTTAGTATTCTATTATCTCGTTAGAGACTGTATTTATGTTATTTTTGGGCTCACAGCCAGTCGGAGCCGAGAATTGATAAAAAGACTTCCTTTTAAGTTTGTCTGCTTGCCGTTTGTTAAGAGCCGTGAAGGGGGGACAGAACAGGGAATTATATCTTTGGCTTTGTATGGGTGTAGATGTAGAACTTTCCCACAACTAGTCTTTGAGCAAGGAAGAGAATAGTTTACAAGCTTGCTGCTGGATGACATACATGGGTGCACTAATAGGATATACCTCATGATGGTGAACCTATGGCATGCGTGCCAGAGGTGGCACACAACGCCCTCTTTGATGGCACACAAGCCGTCGCCTCAGTTCAGGTTTGCCGCACATGTGCGCGCGCCTCCTGCCTACCAGCTGGTGTTCGGGTCTTGCCGTGCATGCGCAGGGGTGGAGAACATATGGGTGGGTGTGCGGGGGTTAGGGTTAGGGGGGCATGAGGGGGGTTGCATGTGCATTCATGGGGGCAGGAGGAATGCGGGGGACATGCATGCATGCGCAGGGGTGTGGGACACGTGCACATGCAGGGGCACATGTACATGCGGGGGAGCACATGCATAGGGGATGCATGTGCATTGCATTTTGGGGCTGGGGGGGCACACATTCATGCATATACATGAAGCTTTAGGCACTCGCTCTGGAAAAGGTTAGCCACCACTATCATAGGCTGAGACAAAGTCTCCCAATTATTTTCTGGGAGTTGGGGCATGCAGGTCTAACAGAAGCAGAGCCAAAGCCCTATTATCTCTCCAGCATCTTCAGACACGTTCTTGTGAGAGAGGTATAATCTGAGGTTATTTTGAATTAATGATATTGAATTGCCTTGAATACCCTTATGCCTAAAATACAATAATATTAATACTATAAGTAAACGGACTATGGTAGGGAGTTATTATTTTTGAGACTCGGGCTTTTGACTATTTGTGTTTTGCACTGCAATAATACTATGATTGCCAATGTTTGACTTAGTCTTTACTCATAATCAAACAGTTCTTCAAAGGACTCTGGGATCGTATTTCTTTTTAGTCAGCAAAGCTAAATATTCTATCCAAAGTTCCTTACCTAATGTGGCTTTCCCTTCATGAACCTTTTAAACTCACTGTCATATGTATCACACAGACTTCCTCAAGTTTCTTATTTCAAGTTTAGAGGAACGTTCTCTAATTTGGCAAACTTTCCTGATTTTTTTCTTCTAGAACTAAATCATGGCTTTTCGGAAGGTAGTGAAAGGAACTATCCTCATAGGAGGAGGAGCCGTTGCAACTGTCTTTGGCCTCTCACAACTTTCTCAATACAGAAAAAAGGTAAGTAAATTGGTTTAATACTTGCAAAGTTCATGCAAATATGTTATTTCTATATTACACGAATACTATAATGATGGATTAGTGCTGTATTATGTTATACAGATTGGAAGAGGCTTCAACCGAGAATACTGGCTGTATATTATTTTATAGTGGCACCAATGAAAAGTTCCTTCATTTCTACATTAATTTCGAAGTCAGTTTTAGTACCATTTTACATCATGCTCTTTGTAGTAATTAGATTAAAACATATACAAGCAGCATATCAAATGTCATTTAAAACTTTTAATGTTGTTGAAATCCTCCACCAGTAATTAATAGTAATGGAGGCTAATTTTGTATTTGTACAATAAAATGAAATCCAATTGTTTAATTGGCAAAATAGAATTAATATGAAGCTCTCTTTGAATATTTAATAATTTGCCTCTTGCAATCTAGGAGTTTCGAAAGCATGTAAATGCAAGTAGATACCGTGTTTCCCCGAAAATAAGACAGGGTCTTATTTTCTTTTGACCACCAAAATAAGCACTTGGCCTTATTTTCAGGGAGGTCTTATTATTTTTGAGGTGCAGGAAGCAACGAGTGTGGTCACTTCATGGCTACTGCTGTGTTGCAATATTTTTGGGGAGCGCTTATTTTCAGGGGAGCGTTTATTTTAGCGCGTGCGTTCAAAAGCTCGATTGGGCTTATTATCCGGGGAGGTCTTATTTTTGGGAAAACAGGGTAGGTAGGCACCACTTTGGTGGGAAGGTAATAGCATTCCATGTGACTTGGTGTATAGTCATGCCAGTTTAAGAATATGTGTGTGCACCGTAACTATACTTAATAATTATTATATGTCTTTAATTAATAACTATTGTGTTGAGATGACATCTTCCACATTGGATGAAAAGAAAAGAAATTAAAAGCTTCTTGTTCCCTTTAGATTCTCCAAAGTTTATGATTCAGATTAGAGAGTAAAAATTAAGGAATAGATATTTATAGTCATTTAAAAAAAAACAAACTATTGGTAGCTGTAGCTGTATTTGGCATTTTAACTGAATGTAGATGAGAATATTATTGACCAGTTTAAGCACAGAGAGGCAGTTTGGTATAGGAGTTAAGACACCAGTCTAGAAATCTGGAGATTATAAAAACAGGTGTGTGGCTGGGCCATTCCCTCTCTTAGCCCTTGGAAGAAGAATAGCAAACCACTTGTGAAATCTTCCTAAAAAAAAACCTGCAGGGACTTATATCCAGGCAGTCACTAGGAATCAGTTCTGACTTGAAAGTGTGCGTGAGCGTGCACACACATACATACAGAAGCATAGGGAATGCTGTGAAGATACTAATTCTTTCCTAAGGTTGAATATATGAGGAATTTGATACAGCCCATAATATTTGTCTTATGAGTCTTCATATAGAGTTGAAAAATATGACTAAAGGCTGAAAAAGGAGCATAGTAGTATGCAGTACTAAAAAACACCCACATACCCAAAATGTTTCAGTTGTAAATCTGAGACTATTTCATTTCCTAATAATTAACAGTGAAAATCTATATGGTATTCTGTGAAACCATGGTGTATCTAGAGAAAGTAATAATGGCAAGAAAATAAGAGAATTCTGTTTTTTTCCTTTATTCTGACTTTTCCACCACTTGAGTAGTGTAGTTCCTCTTGTAGCTGTTGTCTGCTCATACCCAACAGATGATACCAAATGTAAGGACTGTTGCACAAGAAGATGGCCTGTTTGCCCTGTTGAGATATCTAATTGTGGGGCAGAACTAGCTTTATTATACCTGTCAGTCATGTAGAGGATGTGACAAATGACCTCCAGATTAGCAAGAGAGAAGGAGGCCCAAGGAGGTTTTAATTGGCTCTATTATTTTTTTAAGCAAACCTTTTCAACACTCACCTGTGCTAAGAGAAGACCTAAGCCAATTAACATTTGGGCCAATTGTATATTCCGTCTTTTAGAAACATCTCATTTACTGTACAACTAGTAAGCTTTCAGCAGCAAGCTGTTCTGTCTGCATTTTTAGGAAGTCATTGGTTAGCCTTTGCCAAAGCAGCCTTGAAGACAGGAAAATGAAGTTTCTAAAACTTTTGCTATATTTTTAAGTGAAAAACTTTGGATAAGAGCCTTATGCCGGTGCTTAGTCTGATCATGCAAAGGCTTAAAAACAGAGAAAGGATTTACAGAACATAATTAACAGAGTTGGAAGGGACCTTGGAGGTCTTCTAGTCCAACCCCCTGCTCAGGCAGGAAACCTTATACAATTTCAAACAAACAGTTAATCAATCTCTTCTTAAAAATTTCCAGTGTTGGAGCATTCACAACTTCTGGAGGCAAGTTGTTTCACTGATTAATTGTTCTGTCAGTAAATTTCTCCTCAGAACTAAGTTGTTTCTCTCCTTGATTAGTTTCCACCCATTGCTTCTTGTTCTACCCTCAGGTGCTTTGGAGAATAGCTTGACTCCCTCTTCTGTGTGGCAACCGCTGAGATATTGGAACACTGCTATCATGTCTCCCCTAGTCCTTTTCATTAAACTAGATCCGTGATGGCGAACCTATGGCACATGTGCTACAGGTGGCATATGGAGCCATTTGTTAGGGCATGGGAGGCATATCTCTGTCAGCTGCAGCACGCATGCATGTGCTGGTCAGCTGACTTCAGCCTTCTTTTTCGGTCGTTTTTTGCCCTCCAGAGGCTTCCCTGAAACCTCCGGAGGGCGAAAAACAACCCAACGTGCAAACTGGAAGTTCAGGAAGGGACTTCTGGGTTGCCCGTAGGACTGTTTTTCACACTTCAGAGGCTTCAGGGAAGCCTCCTGAATTCTCTGGAGGACCTCTGGTGTGGGGAGGTCATTTTTGCCCTTCCCAGGCTCCTAAAAAGCCTCTGGAGCCAGGGGAGGGCGAAAAACAGGTCCATCGTGCCATCCTACGCCAAAAGGGTGTGTGTGTCCCATGTATAGAATTATGGGTGTGGACACGCCCATGCATGACCCCCCTGCTTTTGGCACATGATGGCAAAAAGATTAGCCATCACTGAACTAGACATACCCAGTTCCTGCAACCGTTCTTCATATGTTTATTCTCCCCTAATCATCTTTGTTGCTCTTCTATGCACTCTTTCTAGAGTCTCCACCTCTTTTCTACATCATGTCAATCAACACTGAATGGAGTATTCCAAGTGTGGTCTTACCAAGCATTATAAAGTAGTATTAACACTTCACGTGCTCTTGATTCTATCTCTCTGTTAATGCACCATAGAATTGTGTTGGCTTATTTGGCAGCTGCAGCACACTTCTGGCTCATATTTAAGTAGCTCATATTTAGGCATTTAACAGACTTGTTTAAGTCATCTTTGTCCACATTTGCTTGATCCTTGACTTTCACATAATGAAAAGAGTAATCTGAAAGAGACTTCTAGTAGAAGTTGTTTAAACAGACGTAGGAGAGTACATCTTATCAGATTTTCAATTCCATTTTCAAGTGAACATGAGTTTTTGTTCTTTCTAAAAATATTTTTACTCTTAGATTATTTTTAGTATTGACCTTCATAATTGCTTTCATATGCTGAAATTAAGCATAGATATTGATCTTAAAAAGTAATGTAAACATTCTGTGTTTGTTTCACTGTTGTGCATATAACAGCAACAACACTCAGACAATAATAGAAGATATAGGGTGTGGACTTGACCCACTTAGCAGAAATATGCCTGTGCTTTCTTGGGCTGACTTCTGAATAAACATGTGATAGTCTAGTTAAGAATTTATTTTACTTTTTTCAGAGTTCGTTTCAAAGTAAAATAGGAATTTATAGTAATAGAAATTAATAACACATAGAAATAATTTGGATACATATAAGTCAATTTTACTTTTGCATACATCTTCTCGAAATAAAATGTGTTCTGTGATCACACACGTGATGAAACACTGAATTTTGCAAACCGTAAATTTGTGCAGGATATATCTTTGTAGCTATAAAATGGCAACTTGTGTTAATTAAGACAGAGAAAGCACATTTTCAGAATGTGTATTCAGCGTCTAAAGCAATACAATTATATGAAGACCCAGAAAACTAAAAATGTATTTTTACATCTCTAATATTAGATTGCACCCTCATACAGTAGCTAGTGCTAATTGTTGCTATTTTGCAATCTCATTAATTCTTTTGTAGGCTGTTAGTTTTTTATATGTAATAATTTCAATTGTCTTTTGTAAAAAACAAAAACATAATAAGCAGGATCTCTTAGTCATTATACTTTTTATTTCTTTTTCCTTCCTAGATTTTCGTCACAAGTTCAGGGTCTGTTTTTTTTTTTAATCCATTGGTTTCAACAGGAATTGACTAACCAGCTGGTAGGCTGAGAGTGACTGGCCTAATGCCACCCAGCTGGCTTTCAGGCCTAAGGCAGGTCTAGAACTCAGAGTCTCCTGATTTCTGGCGTGGTGCCTTGACCACTGGACAAGATTGGTTTTCTTAGTCAATATACTTACAAGTGTAGAACAGTGTAGATGTGGTAAAAAATAAAACACTTTATATGGTTGTGCATCTTTCAAAAATGATTGGAAAGATAGGGTCTGATGTACATGAGCACCATCGTCTTTAAAGCAGCTATGTCTCATGCGGAGGCTTAAAAAAAGATGTGGTTGATTTAAAGAGATGCTGCACTTATATTACACATTTTGAAGTCTCTCTTCTGAAACCTTTTCAAAGCATGTGAGCCTTCTACCATAGTCTAAGGCAGTGTTGGTGAACCTTTTCGGCACCAAGTGCTGAAACGGAGTGCGTGGGCAGGGGAACACCGGAAACCGGAAGAGCAGTTTCCCAGCACACATGCACACGCCGGGAAGCTGAACTTCCAGTTTCCAGCCTGCACATGCACACTGGTCACTTGGTCTTCCGGTTTCTGGCATGCATGCGTGCATGAAGATCAGCTGGCCAGCATGCATATGTGCACCAGAAACTGGAAGTTCAACTTCCCAGCATGTGCATGCGCTCCAGGGAGCTGTTCTTCTGGTTTCCAGTGCTCCCCTGCGTGTGAAGACCGGCTGACTGGTGCGCTGAAACCAGGAAGAACAACAGGCGACGGCTAGCATGGCTGGAGAGATGACTCTGTGTGCCATTTCTGGCACATGTGCCATACATTCGCCATCATGGGTCTAAGGTATAAATGCTTTTCATAGTTCAAAGTAGCAAGGTTTGAATCCAAACTTTATTTTGATCTTGCTTCTAGATAGAAATTATGTCACATTGTCAAATGTTTGCAAGTAATGTGGAAGTTCAATTCAGTATTTTTCAAATGCTTTAAATATGTAGTTGACATCCTTTTTTCTAAGTCTTATAGATTTTTCTGCAATCATTTGCCTGAGAGTTGCCTTTGATTTCTGCTTTTGTATTCTCTGTGTACTGTGTCCTATTCTTCTTGCACCCTGTTCCTTTGGACTGATCCTTACTAGCTTCAAAGTTTCTTATGGACATCTTAAAGCTTTTCTTTGAAAGATCCAGATTGTTCCAAGGTGCAGTGACTGTATTTTTACTTGAATCCTGATGAGGTTTACTATAAACTGGCAGTTGTCCTCTTTCCTGCCATTAGTACTCTGAAGGATGGCTTGTACTGTACATGTTATCCGAAACCCAAGCCCTCCTTCGTGACCACCATTTATTCATAAGAGTAATTATGGGGTTTAGTCCTTCCCTCTTGCTATAAACCTATTGCTTCCTTCCAAATGATCACATTCTGTATTAGAATCCTGCCTAAAAAAGAAGAAATATGCCAGAACCCTTAATTTGGGGATAAAAAAAAATCCTATTGGGTTCTACATGTTTTTGCCTACAGCCTTCCAAATCCTTTGGAATCATTCTTACTGATGGGTATTAGTCAAAAACCTACGGAAGGATAACTAATTTCAGAACTTTGGGCCCAAAATAAAGGTTTGAAATAAACTGCATAATATCTGGACTTTGGTTTTTTGTCAGTGATGAAAATGGGTTAGAAGGCAACCCATTCTAACTTCTACTTCTCTGAAGATAAAGAACCATCAGACAGAAAATGTGTAAATATTCTTTTATGGATAATATGTAAATATCAGTTTGAGAATAATAATGACCAGTCCTTTATAAAAACTCTATAGAATAGAATGGAAACATCATATGGCAGATATAAAGTTTGAGCCACATTGACAATTATTATGAACATTGTAGGCAAATCATGAGCTCTTCACTTGATACAGATTTTCAAGACCAGCAACTATGTCCTTCTTGCTATAGCAATAGCAATAGCAGTTAGACTTATATACCGCTTCATAAGGCTTTCAGCCTTCTCTAAGCGGTTTACAGAGTCAGCATATTACCCCCAACAACAATCCGGGTCTTCATTTTACCCACCTCGGAAGGATGGAAGGCTGAGTCAACCCTGAGCCGGTGAGATTTGAACAGCCGAACTGCAGAACTGCAGTCAGCTGAAGTAGCCTGCAGTGCTGCATTTAACCACTGTGCCACCTCAGCTCTTATAACCATGAGGAGCTTACCTATAGCTATACCAGCATTTCCCACCTACAATATATTTGGAGATGCAGTTTGGCAGAAGTTGATTTAACTTAAGATAAGCCCATAGTCTTTCCAGAGGTTTTCTTAGTGCTAACACTCAGCTGTGCTATTATTGTAAAGATGCTGCAATTAGAGTGGGATCTCCCTATAGAATAGGCAAATTCTGGTTTCATTTATTCAAGAAATACTTAGGATAATTTGCTTGGTTCTGGCATATGAACAAAATCAATTATGGTTATTCCAGGGGTGTCAAACTCATGTCGTCATGTTGGCGTCATGTGACATATAAGGACTCCCCCCCCTTTGATAAACCAGGCGGAGTCAGCAGGTGACGCATCCGGCCAGTAGGCCGTGAGTTTGACACCCCTGGTTTATTCTGTGAGTTGTGTTTTAAAAAATCAAAGTCCTTTTACTTTGAATGAATTTTCCATTTTGATTGGGGTATCAGAACATGTGGAATTTCCCCTCTTCTTTATAATTGGCCGTTTCCTAGTTAATATTGATATAATTCCACGGTAGAATGCAGTGGGAAGTCAATTCCATTCTATGCAGTGAGATTTACTCCCAAGAAAGTATTATTATTTCTACAGTTAAGGTTCTGTGATTTATTTTCTTCTACAGTGGAAGTTGTTCTTCATATGGTATTATAGGAAAACAGTATCAGAAGGATCAGTTGGCTTGGTAATCTGGATCTTTTAATGTTCCAGAAATGTGTTTCACCACCTGTTCCCAATATTTTTTAATAACCTTCTCTATGCTTTGATATCATATTCAGTATACAGAATTAAAAAACAGATTGGACCATTTCAAAATCATATATGTTTGTGGCTTGGCAATAGTTACCAAATTTAGTCAGCAAAGGTACAATCACTTTTCATAATACATTTTTCTGTTTTCTACCATTTTGGAAGAAAATGGAAAATATATTCCAAATTAAATTAAAGCATTATTCATAAAAGATGAAAGGATAAGGTAAAAAACCATGATCCATGGTTTCTAGGGAACCCTTTGGGTTTTAAGGTCCTTCTCTATCAATAGGGGAAAAATTAGAAAGAAAGCAATTAAAAATACGAGGAAGAGGAATAAGGTTTTTAGAAAATAGAAAACCAGCCATTAGTATATTTTAAGGCTCTGCACTTCACTTTAAAAAAAATATAGATATAGCATTCATATCTCTTTAGTTGGTATCTGCCAAATTAGTGAAAAAATAGAGTGGGGTTCATGGTTGTAAAAAATGTGTGCTTTTATGGAGTGCTCATGGTATTGTTTTTTTAACATAGATTTATGCTTGATGACAAAGCAATTCTATAAACATTATATCACACTGTAGTGATGGTATTTGTAATAGAGATTTTTCAGTTAATAACTAGAGTTGTGACTTCTATTGATTTATTTTTAAAGACACTTTCATTAAAAAGTCTTTTGTGTGGTTTTAGGAAAAATAATGGGCATGCTGGGATACTGAATAATGATGATAATAATACTTAATATTGTAATAATATTTGGGCATTATTTTATTTCAATATTATTCTCACATGAATCTTTTGTGTTGTTATTAATGACTAGTAGGCAAGGATTTTGGACAAATAGTGCTGCTCTTTAGAAATCAATATTAAATTATTCCCAATTTCCTTCCTTCCTTCCTTCCTTCCTTCCTTCCTTCCTTCCTTCCTTCCTTCCTTCCTTCCTTCTTCACATTTTATTTTTTTAGGGTCATCTTGCAACTGTGGAAGCTTCAGAATGTAGACCTGTACCAATGCTAAACTCCCTTCCGACTAGGGAGAATCATTTCGAGGCTTTGAGAGAAACCGCAGAATTTGATGTCCTTATCATAGGTGGAGGTGCCACAGGAAGTGGTTGTGCCTTAGATGCTGTTACAAGAGGTAAGGGGTTCACATCACTAAAGAAGTCAGTTTTGTTGTGTCTATGCATTCATATGTTCCAGAGTTAGGAATATGTTTTTTTACATTAAAAGTAAATTCAATTGCTTTTCCTTTTGCTTTATTTCTACTTTTATTTTTATTATATTTTTTTCACATTTATTGTATTTTTGTTTGTATTATTTACAGTAGTCTTTTGCTTGAATTTTTTAAATTATATTTACAGATTTGGGGGCTTTTTAATTTGTAATGCAGTGTTTAAAAAAGATTAACAGAGTTGGGATTTAATTGCTGCAGTTCTTTTATTACATAATGCCATAAGAGGTCTTTCTTTTTTCTTTTCTTTCTCTCTTTCTCTCATACTTTTGTCATTCAATCCAATATAATGCCTGTGATAGGCCTGAGGCATTTTAAAATGTCTTGGATCATGATAGAGATAAGTTGCTAACATCACAGTTCTCAGTTCTGAAAACTTAAGAGGCTCTCGCCTTTTGATATTCCAGAAGCATAGTTTCTAAGCATGGAGAATTCAACAAAGTGCCTTTTGTTTAAAAGATGAAATGAATATAATTTGATCATTTGAGATTATCTCTTTGACTTGCTGGGCTTTCTTCTATTCCGTTTATTTTTAATGTCATTGGCCAACATATCCATCTCATCTTAACTATGTGGGCAGCCTGTGCTTCATGTTATGACCTATTTTAGGGCTGTTCCTTGCTAAGCCACTTTGCATTAAGTCCTAAATAACTTATTCCTTCCTAGCTATGAATTGTCTTTTTAAAATTCCCATAATTCCTAAGTAGTAAAAACTTGCAACCACAGTTGAGCCCAAAATTTATATTGCTAAGACAGACATTTGTTAAGTGAGTTTTGCCCCATTTTAAGACTTTCCTTGACAGATTTGTTAAGTGAATCACTGCAGTTCTTAAATTAGTAACATGGTTGTTAAGTGGATCTGGTTTCGCCATTAACTTTGCTTCTCGTAAAAGGGGATCACATGACCCTGGGGCACTGAAACCATCATAAATGTGACTCAGTTATCATGTGACCATGGGGGATGCTGCAATGGTCATAAGTCACATTTTTCAGTGCCATTATAACTTTGAATGGTCACTAAATGAACTTTGTAAGTCGAGGACCACCTGTATGTGTAATGGTAATGCTGATGTAATAAACAAATACATTTCCTATATTGAAATTTATTGATAAGAATAACTAGGCTTGGTTGGAAGAGCAAATGAGAAAGAAGAGGAAAATTGTTTTGAATGAGAAAAATTAAGTCAGGTATTGTCTTTAGATTATCACTTCTTCAGTAAACATCAAGATCTGTCAACTAGTGCAGATATTATGAATGGCATATATAGAACCCCAGGTCCAGAGATTTATTTTTACTATTAAATATGAGGGACAATTTACTTTTTAAAAATCATTGGAATCATATATTTCACGAACCTAAGATGTAATGTGATTGAATTTGCTCAGTGTGTTTCAGACAAATCAGTTTAGCAAACCATAATTGAACAAAAATAGCTTAGTATGTTGTAGAAACATCAGTCAACTTACATTCAGTAAACCATAGTTAAACAAAATATAGCTTAATGTGATTTGCAAACCTTTTTAAAAATTGTTATTGTAAAAAAATGTAAGAAAAAAATTCTGAATCATTTTTGATTTGTACCAGTACACTTTAGTCTGCTTTTCTCTGTATGCCAGCTTTGGATTATAATGACTTCTTTTAATTAGCTACTAATCGCATGTGTATGTTTGGCCATATAAAAAGTGTTGACATGATTTGGAAAATAAAGTACTAACTATATTTTTAATTCAAGTTTTATAAACTATTCTATTTTTACATACACAGGCTTTTTTTAATTTAATGGGCCTGGTTTCAGCTATGTTTTCTTTCTTAACTCCTATTTAAGTTTTTATTTTGTTTCAAGTTTTCCATATCCCCAATTCTGCTGATGGATTAATCTGCATTAGCCACCAGTTTGAAATTTTGGAATGTGTATATCTCAAAAGAAGAGGCCTAAATGTTCTTAATATTTTGTTTTGCATAATTGCAGTTGCATTATTTCTGGCCAAAGTTTGCTAGATTTAGAAAGAGGGATCAAGTTTGGAAGTAGCTGTAGTATATGTAGCTGAGATATATTTTTGGCAACTTTTTTGTATTTGTTTTTCCTACCATGTATTTTGTTGTAGGGATATGATTTTGGTTTCATAACAAATAAATCTTTTCAGTGTTGGGTAGGATTGGACGTAGCGGATGATAGAGCTATATAGGAAAACCAAAGTTGAAGCCAATCTCTATTTATCGTTTTCGTAGTACATTTGTTGATTTGTATCAGTAGCTTTCTGAAGTGTGAAATAATCATAGGCATTTGGTTAATGAATTGTATATTGTTGCTCTTCATTCACGGGATTTGCTCTCATATTAAGTTTGATGCTTCACTTAGCAAATTCCGTTTTCTTCGTCTGTGATACGTTCTTGCCAAATTATTCCTGATTGTATCCATTAATCTTCAGTCACATTTGACAAAAATAAATTGCTCTGATCTTCTAAAGTTACCAGGAATAATTAGTTTTTTTTTAAGGACATGAAAGTTTAGGGGGACCAAGAGAGGCTAATGTGGCTGTTTATATTGTAATAAAGCATAGCAGAATCTTTAGTGTAATGAAGGCTAAAGGAGAGCGCAGAGAACTTCCTCTTTGGATCTGCAATATCATGTTACACACTCTACCACACCCTCTGTTAAAATCTTGCAGTACTTGCTTTCATTCTTCCTGTTTTCTTCCTTAAGTGGCTTTGTATGAGAGATTGCCACATGGAAAGTATATTGACAGTGGTTGTGACATTAGCATTGCTACTTTATTCAGTTTTGAAGATAGTACTTAGCAATTGCACTTAGACTTATATACCGCTTCACAGTGTTGTACAGCCCTCTCTAAGCAGTTTACAGAGACACCATATTGCCCCCAACAATCTGGCTCCTCATTTTACCCACCTGAGAAGGATGAAAGGCTGAGTCAACCTTGGGCCTAATGAGATTCGAATTGCCGAACTGCTGGCAGCTGGCAGTCAACAGAAGTAACCTGCAGTACTGTACTCTAACCACTGCTCCACCACGGCTCCATAAAATAGCAGTAGAACAAAGTTAGTTTGTATTAGATGTGATTTCTCCTCCTCCCCCCTAAAAGGAATTTCAGGTGTTCTGTAGGTGTTTATTTTAACTGCATTTACTTTCCGTGTGATTATATTTTACAAAACAATAGAAAGGGCAGGAGGGAAAGTCTGAAAATTAGTAATGAGGTATGCAAAGTCAGTCTCAAGGTAGTGATTGTACACTTGAATGATTAGTTAGAGAGGAGATGTTATCAGTATTACATTACAGTTTTCATTTAGGACAAAATGTGAATTAGTTGCAACCTCCCCAAAGCCCATTAATCTTCCGTCTGTCTCCTGTTCTGCTTTTATAATATTCTACCTGGTTAAAAGTTCTGAAGAACTTGAAAGCTTGCACTCTCTGAATTGGGTGGCTCTAATAAAAGTGTAACCCAATATTGATTTTTTTAAAAAAAATTCTATAGACCAGCATGTTCATATGTTATAGTTCTGCTAAAAAGAAAGCATATGCAAATTTAAAATTCCATTAATAACATTAATTGTTTGATTATGATTTAATTACTTTATTTAATTTGTTGTTCTCATGTGTACCAATATCAAGAGTGTGATAACTGTGTCTGGGCCTGAACTCTTCTTATGTCCTGCATTAGCTTAATTTCATTTAGAATCACTTATCTAAAGGTTTTAATTGCACTCGTATATTAATGAGAAGGGGAAAGATTTACGTACTCTCAAATTCCTTCTTTGGTCATTTTCATATCTCCAGTATTTATGACTTAAGTCAAAATATTTCCCTGAAAAGGCTGCCACACTTCACTGCCAAAAAAATGACATTATGTACTTCGAATACAACTTGATTTATATTCAGAGCAATTTTTTAAACTTGTGATTGTCTGTACTTTAGAGAGGGGTCTTTAATGAATTACATACAAATTGTGTAATTTAAGAAGTTAATTTGGTTTTCTGGTTATGCAGGCCTCCGCACAGCTCTTGTAGAACGGGATGATTTCGGATCAGGGACTAGCAGCAGAAGTACTAAATTGATCCATGGTGGAGTGAGATATCTACAGAAGGCGATCATGAACTTGGATATTGAACAGGTAAAATTGCTTATGATGGCTGCTTGTAAAGCAAAACAATATGTTGCTTGATCTAATTAAATCGGTTCTCACACTTTTAATACACTATTTGTTTTGAATTGTTTTAAACTTTGGGAATATAGGCAGAAAATGCATATATAGAAGAAATGCATAAGTAATTAAAATTCAGAAATGTATGTTAGCATTTGGTCGAGCAATTGAAATGCAAAGTGTACATTTTAATAAATTGACCCTTTCATAGCACTATATTTTATTTATTAAGTTTGAGTTCAAATTCTCACTAGCAGAAAAAAAAATCCTAAAATTCGTTATGGTACAATTTATTTTTTTGTAAACAAGTTGAAAAGCTTCAATATGTTTTAAGACAATTATAATTTTTTAAAAAACTGCAGTAGCAGCACACCTTTATATTATCTGTAGAAGTGTTTGTATCCTTTTCAAGCAGCAAGTGCCATTATATAAATTTGTGTGATGGGGAAACTGCCAAAAAAATGTAGAAATGCTCCAATGTATGAAAGATTATCAAATCTGACAAGATCTCATCATTTGCACCTCTGTCTCAAAGGTTTCCTGATCTTGTGACAATGTTAAATGCCTTCCTTGAAAAATGAATAATTTGGGTTCTTAATGTCTGATTTATAGTGAATCTTAGTTTCCCTCTTCTCACTTATGCCCCGAACAAGCTGTTTCATAGTGCATTTCTCCATATTAAGACTAAATTCTGCAGGCAGAACATTTTTGGTAAGAGTAATTATTTCCTTATCTTGATTCTTAGTCATTCTATTCCATTATACCATATTTTAATCTTAACCACGTATGGAAGTTGGGACTTGACCAATTACTTCCCTTAATGCAATCATTATATTTCCAATTGATGGAATCTAAAATTTAATTTGCTTTTTTTATAGCCGCAGTGTCTCAAATTCATTTGTAACTACCGGTAACTACTATGGCAAATCTTTTTCACACATGCTGTTTCCAACTTAGTTGGGCCTCCTCCCATAACTGTACATTGGATTTTTGTCCTTGCTTCAGGGTTCTCATTTTACATTCCTCAGATATCTTCTGATAGTTATTGGTCATGTAAATATCTCATATTTTACTCAAGAACAAATTTGATGTGTGTGTAATGCTGGGAAAATACTATATCCTTAAAAAGTGGATATAATTAAATATTAGTGTGAGGTGTAAAAATGCTCTGGTAATTGTAGTTTTTACTATTTCAGAAGTTTTGGACTCAATGCAGTCTTGAGTTCCCGACTGATATTTTGAATGGGAATCAGTATTTATTTTAAGGTCAGACAGAACACTTTCTGGATGGGCAAACAACAAAATTTCCTTGAATTTGGTTGATTAGTTCCAAATATTCTGTTATTGATTAGACATGTCTTTATGTTATGAAGTAGAACTATAAGAATATGAAATAAATACTGAATTGTTTATTTTTTGAAGCAATAATTGGTACATATTAATTTAGAAACTGCATAGACTGCTGTAATTCATCTCCATAGAGCTAGTACAAGTAGTCCTTGACTTACAACAGTTAGTTTAGTGGCAGTTTGAAGTTACAATGGCATTGAAAAAAGGGAGTTATGACCGTTTTTCACACTTGCAATTGTTGCAGCATCCCCATGGTCACATAATCAAAATTCAGATACTTGGCAAACTGACTCATATTTATCATGGTTGCTGTGTCCCGGGATCATGTGATCACCTTTTGCGACCTTCTGATAAGCCAAATCAGTGAAGCCAGTTCCACTTAACAGCTTTGTTATTAACAGCTGCAGTGATTAACTTAACAACTGTGGCAAGAAAGGTCGTAAAACTGGGTAAAATTCACTTAACAAATGTCTTAGCCCAGTGTTTCTCAACCTTGGCAACTTGAAGATGTCCGGACTTCAACTCCCAGAATTCCCCAGCCAGCGAATGCTGGCTGGGGAATTCTGGGAGTT